TAAATTGCTCTGAAAAGCAAATAATCACATCAGCGCCAAGAAACTTCATTTCCCATGATGCTTTGCACACGGAAGCATTGGGTGATGTCACCGCCTAGTACCAGAAACACGTTCTGCGCATGTGCGGGAAGCCGTGGAGCTTTTCCCGCGAACTAAGACCATAAATCTTCAGCAGAGACAAAGAAACCTCGTTCTTTTGCCCAGGATACCTGGCGGTAAGGACACGCTTGTCGAACGCTCCGACAACTTGAGCACGCGGAAGCTCTAAGTGCCAAGTTGAGCCCACGCAACCGCTGGAAACTACACTCAACTCCATCGAGACCTGACTGGGAACGAGCGGAGCTCCATTCAGCTCTCAGAGACGCTGTAAGTTGTCAAACTCAGCACAAAAGAAACTTCGTCCTCTTTGTGTCCAGCTCGTGGAGAAACACACGTGGAGCCAAACAACGGAGAAAGCATCAAACCGACGGATGACGCTGAAAACTGCGGAGAAAAACGGAGAACCGTCAAATCATAACAGCGGGGACGCCTTGCTGCTCATCTGGTGATCAGAAAACTCATTTTCTCTCTCCTTTTCTTCTCCCGTTTCCTCTATAGTCCAGAATAAGCAATAAAACCGCGCTATTGCTTAAAAAGTAGCTTCGTGTTTTCCTCTTTCGCTCCCAATTCGTCCTTCGGGTCATTTTGAAAGAATAAACTGCTTATTGATCATCGCTAATATCTTTAGTCGTCAGCTCTGGCCAGGCTGCCGACTCCTTTTAGATTAAATAATTTACAAGTGACCCTTTTGTTGTTTGTTAACTTTTGAAGTGTTTGAGTTAAGTTTTACTGTGATTCTAAGCCACTAAGTGTTCGGGAAAGTAGAAAACTTTACACATCCAGGTCTCCTGTTGAATGCGAGGGGAGGGGAAGAGCCCCACACACACTCACAGCTCACTCCCCCCACCTACTCTGGGGAAACAAAGACCCATTCATCTCACACACACACACACACTCACTCACACACACCACACAAACACCTTGAACATTATTTTGAATATACATCCTTTTATTGTATCACATGGTTATTATTCATTTATGCCACTGTTTATTCATTTGACAAATTGTTAATTAAACGTTATAAAATTCAGATTTTCGTCTCCAGTAGCTTTGTTGTGTCGAAGAGAAGTCTCTGCTCCAAGGATTCTACGAACTTCAAGAAAGACTGATAAGAGTTTTGGATTCAATTTTTCCCCGGTTAAAGGGGAATGGTGCCCCGTATATCTAAGAATATCTTAATTAATTAATAAATCAGTAAATATTTACATATTTACAGAATTTATTGAAGAATCCAAAAGTAAGTTGAAGCTTACTAATTGTTCGCTCCTAATAACCCCAACACAGCAGTTGAAATTGAAACGGCGCCATCTTGGCAGGCAGTAGCCCGCAGCTGGACTATTTGTTATTGTCAGAAAACTCAATCAAACGAGAAATATGGTAGATTCCTGTTGTGCCTCAGGATGCCAAAACAGACGCAGACAACATAAGGGATGAGCCATCTACAGGATTCCCCAAGATCCGGAACGCCGCAAACGTTGGATCATTGCAATAAAACGCACTAGTAACCGGGCTAAAATGAAGCTGTGGAATCCCGAGAGTAAAGGTTTTCGCATATGCAGCGACCGCTTCATATCAGGTACTTAAACCAACGTTTCCTCAACAGTATATGGTATTTATTTAAAATGCATTTATTACGATTCTTAGTGGGCTTCCTAAACTTATTTTGGCGTGGCTTTTTCTGTCTTATTACTCATAGCAACAAGTAAATATCACGTAAAACGTTGCCTCGTGTTTCTGCGTGCTGCCGTTTACGTTTCTTATGATCACAGCAATTAACCGGTGTCAGTACAGGATCTGCTCGGGTGCAAGATCGGCTCGGGGTCCTTCGACTGCCGATGACGTCAAAGTATGGCAAACCCACTCGGACAAAATACACTACACATCTTTATATTGTTGGAAAGAATTTAGCAGTTTCGTTATTAAAATAACGTTTCTTACGACGTAAGTTTGTGTTTATAATGGCATTTGTAAAATAAAACACTATATTGTATTCATAATGTTGAACTCCTCTTTGAGCACATCCCTTGAAGGATCATAGGTATTAGCAACACCTGTGAAATTGTATTTGCAGGAAAGAAGTGTGTCCCGTTTATTGAAGTATTTTGTGTTTAGAGTTTTTGACGTCTTGTCCATGCGTATAGTTACACTCATAGCTGCTAGCCAAAACTCTGGGGTCAAAAGCTTTCTGGCATTACTAAAATACCTGTCTGTACTTATTTGATTGATGGTAGTTTTACTTTCTATTAGACTCCAAATGTAATCATTTGGCACGTTTCTAATTCATAATTTGTAATAATATAATCGGTGATATTAGCATCAGCAGTCCTATGGGTTTTTCCATGTGTATTAGCATTGCGCCAACCACTCGCTGCCAAATTGCAGCCTTTGCGATTAGAAAATCTCCCTTTGTCACATCGCAATTTAATTGCACATGCAGTAAATCGTTCAGCCCTAATATACATGCAGCTCTATGCTAAAAGTGTATTTTCAAAGAGGTAATGATGGATTTCTTTGTAAAAGTTGTCCATCTTTCCAACAGAAAGATTTGCCTGGACCAACGTAACATGATAACAACATAACGTGATGACATAACTTCCATAAGGTTCATGTTCAGCCAATCAACTACTTTGACGTCATCGGCAGTCGAAGGACCCTGAGCCGATCTTGCACCTGAGCAGATCCTGTACCAACACCGGCTAAGCTGTATTTAATTTTTAAGCAATGGTTGGTCAATTGTCAGATCACACATAAAAAGCACTTTAGATTGCTATAATCTGTCTGACCGAGACAGGTCTCAGACAGATCCTGAGGCTCCTGCCTGACATATTTATTTTATTCACGGAAAAAAAATCAGACTAGTTATTTCTCTTGGCGTTCAGTTTATACATTCAAACAGCACAGCGCTCTATTTAAACTTCTCACATGTAAATCTATGTTATTTGTGTTTTTGTTTAATCAGTTTTATAAATTATAAATGTCACGGCATCTAAAATCCAGTAAGAGGTCCGCTCCGACAGCTTCTGGCGTTTTTAAAAAGTATCCCGGGGAATGGTAAGGGTAGGAGATGTTTAGTCTATTTAATTTCTGACTATATAAAACGATTTCTTCGGTTTTAAAGTGTGAAGTAAACTCCGACGGAGTAAAATCCAAGCCGATCCCGTTCATTTTTTTTCCTTTGTTGCCTGCCAACATGGTGTCTAGTACTCTCTGAGAACCACGTGACGTCCGGAGCTCTAAAGCAGCGGCAGCACCTTAGAAAAATCACTATTTCATTTTAGCTGTTATAAAAACGTCCACTAGGTGGCAGCTCAAGTTATTCTTGCAGCTAGGGTGGTGCCTCAGTCAGAACTGGGTTTTCGTTATCTTTCTGATGGCCGATCGTTGGTCTGAAGACAAATTAACAAAAATCAATGTTCCGTTGTAGTTAAAACTATAAATAGAACAAACTCCTTCAAACTATCGAGAGTTTCTACTCTGCCACCGTGGAAACTGATGAGCAACACTTTCAAAAGTGCTGTTTTATCTCAATCCAGAGTAGACCAACAGACACTTTTAGTGTTGAATTTAACTGCCTATAGTTGAATACCAACACCAGGGTTGCAGGTTCGACCCCGGCTCCTGACAGAATTCTGCTGTTGTGTCCTTGAGCAAGAGACTAAACCCTCCCTGCCTATTGTATATGCTAGGCTGCCTCTGTGCTGTGGCTACTGCAGCTCATCACCACCAGTGTGTGTGTATGAATGGATGAATGAAACACTGTAGTATAAAGCGCTTTGGAGTCCCCTGACTCTGAGGCCTAGTCCGCACGTAGCCGTTTTTTTTAAACGAATATCCGCCCCTCCAAAAACTTGCATCCACACCACCTCGTTTTAAAAAGAAACTCTGTCCACGCGTACCCGGATAAATACGTTGTTAAGGACATGCCAGACCTGTAGGCGGCAGTACTTCCCCAGTTCTTAACCTCGTCCTTCGTCTGTGGTCTTCCGCAAGGTGCAGTAATTCCGCTTGCAAAAACAACCAACTTGGACAATTGATAAAGCGAGCGCAGCTCTGAGGGCATCCATGCTGTCGGCTAGTGTAAACACAGGTCGCACACGTGATGTCAGCATTTTTTTGTTGCGGAAAGTGATGTTGCGGACCTTAAAACTCCGGTTTTGTCCGTCCACACGCAGACACCCAAAACGGAGAAAACGCAGATCTTCACTTTGGCCGGAGTTTTTAAAAGGATCCATTTTCGTGTGAAAAAACTCCGTTTTCGTGCGGATGACAGGCCAAAACGTAGAAAAATATCTATGTTTTGGCAGATCCCCGGCTACGTGTGGACCATGGTGTGGACAGGGCCTCAAAGGCGCTATACGAGTGTGGGTCATTTATCATTTTATCATTAGATAAACATTACGGAGGGCCATGTGTTCACTTGCCTGAAATTTGAGGACTCCACAATAAACAGCCAGAACTGAATACGTGACTACTCATCAGTCAGATTCTGTTGCCCCAAAAGGACATTCCTTTGATCCAAGATTACAATGTTTGACTTAATTAAATCATCACATGCTTAATTACTGTTGACCGCTTTACATTTAAATGAAAAACTATATTTTAGTCTTATTTATCATACACCTCTTTCCATGCGGGTCAATAAAAAATTGTGCATATGTAAATAATAATGAACTTTAAACATTAAGAGTTATCAACCCTCTAATTATTCTCACATTTCACCTTATTAAACGTACCAACAGATTATCAGTACAAAAAGTATTAATTCATTACGACTTGAAATTAAAAGCCTAAGTCTAATATTGACTGGCTGAAGGTTTGTGTGAGCTGGAGTAATCTACATGTTCATTTAAAAATATCAGGCAATGATAAAAAAGCAAGAATAAACCACCCAAAAACAACGGTTGCATTGGACACTTTTAATTATCTCAGCATATAGTGTCATGTAGGTCTGAAAAACCAGATTTCATGTTAGCAGTTATTAAAATGTCCACTGGGTGGCAGCACAAGCAAAACCCAAACTCCATCACGTCGTTTAGCCTGCACCAGCATGCTGAGTGTTGGCGTAGATGTTTATAGAAGCATGTTGGTGAGGTCATTGGTTAACATCATCTCAGGGGCAGGGAGGAGCGTTTTTGCAACTTTGGATCTCGTACTTCTTTGCTATTCCTTCAGGTAGGGTGCCGCAGTCATAAGAAGGTTTTCCAACAAACGTTGCCTTATCTTTTTGACGGCCGATTGTTGGTCTGTAAATCCACAAAGACACAAATCAACAAAAGTCCCTGAACAATGTCCCTTTGTAGTGCAAAATCTCGTCAACAAAACAATTTCCTTTCTGTGATTTAAAGCTGCTATAGCAAATCTACAGAACAAGCTAGTGTAAAACATTTTTTCATGCCTCTTAAAGTTCTAGCATAGTATAGCTATAAATATACTGTAGAGCTGCAGAGATAAAAAATAACTCTGGAGTTTGTCTAAAAACCTTTGCCAATAACACGGCTTGTACCCAAACCAACTATAGGGAGCCGAAGTCACACCCACCTACTTCCGCACCACAGGTCCCGGAAGAACGAAAAGATGAATGCAAGTCAACGATGCTAAAACCACTATTTTTTAATTACGCCTGTTATGTGCTGTGGATTTCTCATATGATGTTTGTGAATTTTAAAGACACATGTGGATGCCAAGAAAGCGCTTTTTTTTAAAATGGGGGAAGCATTATTTTAGGTTTTGTGTAAAAATAAGTCCAGGACTACAAATGTGCTTCATGAAAGTGACGTCATCGAACCAGACATGGAGAAAACAGGGAAAATGGCTGTAAGTTCAAGAAACTTCCAATGCTTCCTTCAGGAGGAAAGAACCACCATAAATCTGACATGTGGTAAGTAGCAGCTACGCTGGGGGAGGAGCTTGTGTGGTGACGTCACATATGTGACATGCTGTTGTCTGATTTATAGTCATGCTAATAACCAACTTTTACAAATACATGACAGGCGTGGTCGAAACACCCACCATTACTTTTCATTTAAATAACAGTATACAGCATGTGTGTGATCCAGGGCCTAATGCAAAGTGGGTTAGAAAACAGCTCTTTTAGCCCCGTTCACTTGCATTCTTTATTTTTTGTTCTTTCAGGGACCCATGAGCCGACCGGAAAGGGAGGAGACTTACGCCCCGGCACACACCAGACGCGGACGGGCGACCATGCACACCGAAGCGCCATGAAACGATGAGCGCTTCTAATCGGCACCCTTGTTAACCTACACTCTCGGTCACATCAGCTGCAAAGTGCTGCGAAGGCGCACCATGCAGCGATCGTTTGGGTGTGAGCTCTAAAGTTTTTGTGAGCCGTGAGTGAACCGCGCCATTTCTGGCAGGAAATCAAACCAAAGCAGAAGAGACAGGCAGGTAAATTTTACAGAATAAAGAAAATTTTGAAAATAAAACACTGCGGTTGATAAATGCAATCATTTCTGTGTATCTAAACAGACTAGAGAGATGAAAATGAACACACACACACACACACACACACACACACACACACACACACACACACACACACACACACACACACACACACACACACACACACACACACACTCCTGCAGAGAAACAAAGCGTTTCCAGAATTTTAAAAGCAGTTTTTACAGCAAAAGATGGATTTAATAAATGTGAATACAAACAAATACGTTTATTTCAAAGGTAAATATACAGCAGTATTGTGCACTACCACAAACACTACTTAACTATTTAGAAATAAACTGGTCTACAAAAGCAGGATCAGCGCAGTTTCTGATACCAAGCAGGGCAAACTGGTTACACACACGCACACACACACACACACACACACACACACACACACACACACACACACACACACACACACACACACACACACACACACACACACACACACACACACACACACACACACCAAGGGCACAGGGGTGGGGTGGCGGGGGAGTTGGAAAACAGGCGTGTGCAGAAGCGCTTGTCGAAAATTCTCGCCTGATGTGGACAGAGGAGCAATGGGCGGCATGTGAATTTCGTGATGGATCCACTTCACTGTGCTTCGCAGCTGGTGTGTTCTGGGCATTAGGCTCCCTGTTGGACCATCTGGTAGTCAATCTCATTGAACCACAACACTGCCACATTACCCGGGTCCTCCACTCATTACACACTCACGTATTTAGCAACAGAACACCACTGGTGTGAGAGGTTCTCTGCTCAATGTTAATTTGTGTTTAAAAGCTAGCTAGTAGATTTGGTATTGCAGCTTTTAATGTTGTCTTTCTGCAGATAACGGTTCGTTAGCCTGTAAAAGCAAAAGTTTTTCATTCCTGATGTAATTCCAGTGCATATACGAACCTGTACCCGGCTGCCATGTAATCAGGATCACAGATCAGAGACCTCACACGTCTAGAAGTTGGTCCACAGGGTGGGTTACAAAACCCCCATTCCCCCCAGCCTTCCCAGCTGCCTTTCACTGAAACACATCTGGTCAGTAATGCTTGTGTGGAGACTTGTGAGCCTGGAGGGGTGAGGATAAGAGCTACTCACCATAACATTTGTCAACATCGTAGCAGACCCGGCTGTCCAGCTGTTTGTCTCCAGCGCAAAAGGATCCATTATGAGCTCGATGGAGACACTGCCGCTCTCTTTTCTGCTTTCCACCTATTTTCAGGCATCTAATGTCTTTAGTACCATATGCATACCTGCACGTTTCCCACTCGGACCACTCGGACCACACACCATGGACTGCAGACACACAGAACCATCCCACAGCAGGTAATGTTGTCAAACGGTGTGGAGATCATCTCAGAACACTTCCAAGCAGTTTTACTTTAAAAAATTTCCTACATTACATCAGATTTACTGGTGTCTAAATAATTCAATCAATGAGAAAGATTCCAAAAATTTACTTTGCAGATTTCAGGAAACTTGCTTTAACATCATCTACCTGGACAGTGGACTTGGGTTGAGCAGATGGAGGTTCGTCTGTCGTCTCCACGACATGGCTGGCCGCCATGTTTGGGAGTGGGACTATCACATCTCCTGATAGACTCCTGGAGGCCGACTCCACAGGAAACAGGACAGGAAGTGTAGGGCGACCAAGGACCCCAACTACCATCCACTGGGGAAAAGAGCGAGATTTAGAACAATGAACACAGAGGAGTCTCTGTCTTCATGTGAACATCTCAGTGTGGACACCTGGAAGTGGACATTGTCAGCTGGGAGCTGTAAGGAGTCCACCTGGTCAGTTGGGTTTAGCTGTTGTCCCTAGTGGAAGTCTCAGAGTTATGGCTAGTCTTACTTAGAGTTGGTGTGAAGTTTAGAGTCACATTCAGCATGTAAGAGCAGTTTTCTGGTGTTAGCTCTGCGTGAACAACTGAGCATGTTAGTTATGTTCAAGGTTATAGTCCTGGAGGACACACTAAGATGGACAAGCAGGTGTACCTGAGCAGGGAGGCAGGTGGTCACAGTTTTCAGTTTGGATGTTGTCACCTTCACAGTCACGGCCAAGCGGGTTTGACGATGGTGCTGGGTTGGTGCAGGAGCGCTGGCGACTTCTAGTTGGAGGTCGGCCTTGTGGGATACAGGAGGCTGTGCACTCGCCCCAGTTTGACCAGCCAGACCAGACCCCATGAACTGACAGAGAAGCAGGATAAAACTTTGGACCTGTGTGTGTGTGTGTGTGTGTGTGTGTGTGTGTGTGTGGTTTACCAGGACAAGGACTCTGACAGATGCTGCTCTCAGTGCTCGGCCCCTCACATATTTTGCCACCATATTTAGGGGCGGGGCTATCACATATTCTTGATGACAACCTCAGCCCCTCCCCACAAGTTACAGAGCATGGCCCAGGTGCAGACCACGCCCCCCAGTTACCATCCACTGCAAAAACAACCCAATCATAACCATTTGGCAGTCCTTTAAGTATTCAGTTGCTCCGGTCTTACATGAGATCACCCTCTCACCTGGACAGTTGGGTAGTTCGCTGCAGTCCTGTCTCTGGGAGGCGTCGCCTGGGCAACTGTTGCCTGGTGGCTCTGTGTCGGTGGAGGGGTTGGGGTTTGAGCAGGAGCGCTTTCGTTCTCTTGAGGGTGTGTTTATAGCACCGCCTTGGTTACTGACACATGAACCAGAGCACTGAGCCCAACTGGACCAGCCGGACCAACCACCATGGACTGAGACACAAAAAGACAAAGACGTATGGATGGACACTGACACAACTTACTTATTTTTAAAGGTTTTTTTGCTTCATAATTTAAGTCATTTCGTGAATAGCAAGCTTCTGCAGGGGTTGATGACCAGTTGAACAAATAACTCAACCACTGAATCAGGTGTGATGGAGCAGGCAAACAGTCAGGCGCCACTCGGAGTTCAAAACACGACTGAATACCAGAAGGATCAGAGTTTAACCAAGGTTGACTTGTTGAGAAGCACTAGAGAACGCTCAGCCGGGTCGCTCGTTCCGTACACGTACAGTCCTTACGAGATATTCCTCGGAGGTAAAGGTGACCAATCGGGCTTTTGCAACAACAACAGATTTATTACCATGAAATGATGTTACAAGAAGGAAATAATTAAACAGTGAGGTGGCTTTCTAGCACACTGAAACAGGCACATAGGCTGTACACTCAGGCTTTTTGCTGAATCTGTTAGTGTAGCTGATTACACAAGAGCACTTCTCTGTTTGAGTTTCGCTTACTGTCAAGCAGCTTGTACCACTGGTGACCTGATCTGGGATGTTGTTGCCACACCGGCTGTGACCCCAGTTCCATCCCTTTAATGGACGTGATTTAAAACATACAAAGATGGTTGTACTTTCTGCTACAGCCTCTGGGATATTTGGGCTTAGCAGAGTTTGCAGCTATCAGACATCAGCATAGTCTATTTACATCAAAAATCTCCATCCTAGGCTTCGAGGATCCACCATCCTCCATGTTTTTTTGTGGGTTCCTGTTCCTATAAACCTGGTTCAGATGATTGGGTTACCTGTTGTTGACCCATTAACACAAAGCTATGTGGGATCCATTTCAAGATCACACCTTTTCTCTCTTTTCTGCAACATTTGTAGAAACAAACCTTACCTGGACATGTGTTGTTAGCCTCACAGGTCTCGGTCTCTTCCGTGGGACCAGTGCAGTTCAGTCGACATTCAAGAGGAGCAGAGCAGACCCTCTGTCTCTTTCTGACTCCTTGTCCTCCACAGGTGACTGAGCAGGGAGTCCAGGGGAGCCATGAGTCCCAGCCTTCACCTAAAAACACTCATGAGGAAAAGGTGTTCCACCAGAGTGTGTGTCTGTGAGTGTGAGTTTATCAGTGCTTGTACCATTGCAGCAGGTGCCGATGCATGGTTCCACGTATAGCTTGTCAGTTGGGTTCTCACACTCTGATTGGCCAACGCCGTAACATTTCCTGCTTTTCTGCCTCACTCCCTCTCCACACAGGGTGGTACACGGAGACCAAGATGACCAGGAAGACCAGGTAGGTGGACTGAAAGAGCACAAACCCACCGGTAAAACACAGGAGACGTTTAAGAATTGGTGTGTGTGTGTGTGTGTGTGTGTGTGCGTGTGCGTGTGCGTGTGTGTTTCCACCTACCCACAGGACTGACATGCTCCATCTGCCGTCTGATACCCGTAGTTTGGGTTTTGACAGCAGTCGTCTTCGTTCACATCACCGATCTCTGAGTCACACTCACCTGTGTTCAGATCAATAGAAGCAAAACACCGCACACTCTCTACACACACACACACACACACACACACACACACACACACACACACACACACGCACGCACGCACGCACGCACGCACGCACGCACACGCACACGCACACGCACACACACACACACACACACACACACACACACACACACACACACACACACAAACACACAAGTATCACTACTATGTCCGATATATCGACACAGACGATTGGAATGTGTGCTGTTTTATATTTAATAGCGACTGCTATAAAAACATCGGCTTCCCATTTTCCAGTCTGGTGAGTTTATCTTAAATACGACTTACAATGAAACTAAATCAGAGAAAAATAAAAAATAACATATTTAAATAATTATTTACAGAAAACATGAGCTCCATTAGGCCTTTTGATTTGCTCTTCAGGATTTGATTTAGTTAAAGTCGTAAATAAATTAAAAGCTACCTGATAAATATCAGTCAACATAATTAAGTACTGATAGAGACTTGAACTTCTTTTGGTGGGGAATCTTTTTTTCCTCTCATTATTTTAGATCAGTAGGAGTGAGGACCCTAATTACCCCTATCCTGGCTAGCTTGTGGAATCCTTTATGGCGTGCACGGCTCTCGCTGGGGTGGCTCCTGTAGACATTTTCTGGCTTTTTAAAGGAGTTCTGTCTAAATCCCTCTGCTCGGTTGATGTTTGTCTGTTAGTGGTCTTATAGAAGACCGGACCATCTCTGTGCACATGTGGAACCAACTCCCTGAGATTAAACTTGTTGCGGTGCTTTCAGACGGTCTTTACATCTCCTCTCATGATCTGTCTCATTGTTTTAGTTGTATTTTAATGCTGCTTAGTGTGTTCGTATAGGGTTTATTTGTTTCACAACGTTTTTACATGTTTTACTACCTTGTATTAATTTCTATGTTTTACTTTTCATGTTTCTCTCCCTCTCTCTCTGCATATATATATATATATATATGTGTGTGTGAATGTATGTACGTGTGTATGTATGCATGTATGTATGTATGTATGTACGTGTGTATGTATGTATGTATGTATGTATGTATGTATGTATGTATGTATGTATGTATGTATGTATGTATGTATGTATGTATGTATGTATGTATGTATGTATGTATGTATGTATGTATGTATATAAATTTATAAACAAACACAAACTGACCTGAGCGCTCCCCAGAAACCAGCACAAGAGCCCAAACTAGCAGAAACCTCTGAGTCTCCATCGTCCTTCAGCTGTGATGCAGAAGTGAAGCTTCACTTTCTCTGTTCTACATTCTGATCCCAGATCAGGCCCTCCCACCAGCTGGGATGGGTCACTTTTGGAGCTGAACAGCAGCTCCCTGCAGACTAAACGATTGAAAATCTTTATTTAAAACGTTTATGCACAAAAACATGGACATGATAGACTCCTCGACTGAGACAAAACTGATCATTATATTGATTTAAATGGAAAACAAAGTTGCTGCTGTAACATCAATAAACAAAAAGAGCATTTAAAGAACTCAGAGCTTCAACTCAAGTTCTGCACAATAAAGTAAAGACGACAGAAGATCAACCTTTAAGACTTTAAATGAAATGTTGCTGAAACTGCCTAAAACATTAAAGGTGTCACAGTAAACACATTTGCACTGATTTTACTGCATTTCAGAACATTTATAATTTCTGTGTTTCTCTCTCGCTCTCCCTCTGTGAGTGAGATTCTAGTTTTTTCTTGGTAAAGTATATTTTTTAACTTTTCTACTAAATAGTTGCTTAATTTTTACTCCGACCACAAATGGAGTGAACTTCCCTTTCGTTGTGTAAAACCTGCTGAGCTGTTATTGTTTGAGTCAGAGCAGAAAAACGGACCGGGAGCCATTGATGCTGATGCAACAGAGGCTCTCAGAAACATCCTTCCAGTAAACCTTGTTCAGATTTTGTGAGCATCATCACTTTATAGTTTTCCTTCTCTTAAATTTTACTACACCCCCAGTGTGGAAATTTTCGGTTATTTTAAAAATAGTTTTGTGCAAAATGAGAAAGTTGTTATGAAACAGCATCAGGTGGTCAGAGGACATCAGGAAACAAAAGTATACAGGTTTGTTAAGGTTACTGGTCCACTGGTGTTCCAACGCTCCATCAAGGCCACGAGGTTTAGATCATGACCAGAAGGAGATCCATGTGGCTGACCAGGCTCTGCTGCACAGATACGGTGATCAGTTGCTGCTCCTCCTCATCTTAAGGTTTAAGCTGAGATGGTTTAATCATCTGATTATAATATCTCCTGGTTGTCTCCCTGTGAGGGTTCTCTGTGTATGACCTCTGGAAGGAGGCCTCTGAGGAGATCCATCATTTACTGGACCTGGAACACCTTAGGATCCCTCAGGAGGATCTGGAGAGTGTCACTAGGGACGGGGATGTCCAGTATTTTCTCCTGAACGTTTTCTTCTTCTTCTTCAGTCTTGGACAAGTGGTGGAAAATGGAAAGATAGATAATTAAGTCAAGTGCCAATAATACAAATGAGACTAGCGAACATTGTTTTGTCAACATGCTGCACCCTGCTTGAATTAGGAGATGCAGAAACCATGTTTCCCTCCAGCAGCAGAGCACAATAGGTCATGTGCAGAACAAGATGGCAACTATCCCTTTAAGAGGAAGAGGACTCTAAAGCTGGAAATGAACCATGTACATATTTATGTATGTATTTATGTATGTAGATATATTTGTTTAGTCCACAGAGAAACATGTCCCACCCCAGCAGTTTAAGCTGGAATAATGGTGTTGCACTAAGTCAACAACGTGATTTCCTGTGAAAATAACTGTCACGTTTAGGAGAGGAGGTTGGACCCAGGATGCAGAGGTACCCAGAACGACTCAAAGGCAAGAGAGGATTTAAGAAAAACAATTCATTATTTAAGGAGGAAGTGCTGTAGACTCCAAAGCATTAAATAAGACTAACACACAAAAAAACCTTGAAAACTCAAAAGTAACAAAGCTCACACATGAGCACGGACTCAGAGAGACTCGCGAGGGGAACGAACAACGCAACACATACGACAATGACCAAACAAACACTGAAGGACAAGACAGGCTTTTAACACAGAGGGAAACAATCAGGGGAACAGGTGACAGGTGTAATCAATTATCTAAATGGGATGGAAAAACCAAGCAGAGGGGAAGATAACATAACCTATGAAAACACTACATAACAAAACCTAGAAACTAAGGGCAAAGATAAACAACTAATGACAAGAGGAGTAAGGGAGACTAACAAGTGGGGAAGGACACAAACACTAAAGGGAACTAATAAAATGAAAAGCTGAACCTATAGAAAATAAAACTACAGAGGGGTGACTAGGGGAGACCTGAGAAGCTGGGAAAACACCAGGAGACATGAGGAGAACGCAGAGGACAAACAGGAGGGGGCTGGGGACCAAGGGGACACAGAACATGACAATAACTTATAATTCAGGATGAAGAGATAAGAAACAAACATCATTACCAACAATGGAGAAGAAACAGAGAAGCAATGCAAACGTCAGTTTGATTTATAAAGCACATTTAAATATAAAATAATCCTTCTAAGAACTGCTTTTCATCATATGGCTGTGGGGTGTTGAAGACTATCTTCAGCTATAGAGATGGGAAATATTCTGGACAGGTCTGAAGTCCATCACAGAGACACAAACATCACTTTTACTCACACCTGGAGAAAATGGTCATTCTGGCCTGCATGTGGTTGGTCTGTAAGAGGAATACCTAAAGAGAACCCATGCTTGCATAAGAAAGGCATATAAACTCTGCACAGATGCAACTGGGATTTGAACCTGTAACCTTTTGGATGCATGGCTGCAGCGCTACAACTAATCCACCATGTAGCCTTAGCATATAAACCAATAATTTAAATTATTCCGTTGAGCTGGTAATTAATGTTGTTTTAAGGAGAATAAAACCAACTTAAATTGACCAATAATTGACTGAAAGTTGTTTATTTACTTTTATCTTTCCTGTTTTCTTATTTGGTGATCATTTCACCTTCTAGTTGGGCGTTTTATTTCGAAAAAACTGCACCGGAAGTGCCACGCGCGTGTGTGTTTGGTCATGATGCTGTGAGAGCACGAGCCTCCAGCAGTAGGAACGCCCTGCATCCTCTCTCCTCTCCTCCGACATCTCTCCCCGGTCTCCTCTGCTCCTCCAGCCGCGGAGGAGCCACTCTGTAGCGGCAGAGAGACGAAGCGAAGCCCCGCTGACTGTGATGGCCTTTTAACCCCACCGGAGAACCGTACACTCACCGGGAAAATGGATTCTCTCCTCTCCTTCCTCCACCTCCTCCTCGTCGCTTCCCTGAGCAGCCTCCCCTCTTCAGCTGACAGGAGAATCGGTGAGTAACCTCGGTTTGTTTGTTTTGATCCGTTTTATTGGACATACTGAGAGCTGTCCGTGAGGGTTCATTCGGTCAGCTGCCAGGAAGCGACGGGCTGATTCACCGCAGCTTCACCTGAGAGGAAAAACAAACATCCAAATATCCGCGAGAAGAACATCACAGGAACATCCGAGGTTCCTCTTAGAACCTGCAGATGGAAGCAAAAACCCACAGATTAGAATTATCAGATTAAAATTAAAATTTACCTCTCATCTGTCTGCCAGCAGGAAATTACTGAGGAAAACATGTTAGAACCCCCCCCCCCCCCCCCGAAACATTTAAAAACCGAAACATAACAACAACAACAACAACAATAACAATGAAATAGATGCAAAGGCAACCCACATACAACCCAGTTAAAACAATTTGTAAAGTTCTAATAAAACTGTCAAATTTTCAGTAGAAAATTAAATAAATGAATTAATGTTATTCTTGATTTTTTTATATTTGAAATTTAACTTAATGCCAACAACAAAAACATTAATAGCCTAATAATATAAAAATAGGTGAAGATACATTTAATAAAATGCCAATAGATTTAAAAATAAAATGTTTATGGCACAATGAAATTATATTATAATAAATATTTCAGGGATTAAACAACAACTGTAGAGAGAAAATCATGTTTGTGTTTTTGATAAAGCTCATCTGTAAACAAGTGGAACAAACACCCATTAGTGATAAAAATCACAGCAGAGTGATGAAACCTCTAGTGTCCAGCTCAGCTCCTGACAGTTATCGATTGGAAATGTAAGTGTGTGTGTGTGTGTGTGTGTGTGTGTGTGTGTGTGTGTGTGTGTGTGTGTGTGTGTGTGCGTGTGTCAGAAAAGAGCATTAATTTCTCTGTGCATGTAGTCTATAAATAGCCTTTATCTGATTTCCCCCTTGCTGACTTCAGATGTGGAGCCTGCATGATGACTGAAGCTGGGATGTGTTGAAGAGGAGGAGGATGAAGAGCAAGGAGAAGCTGGTTCATGTGTGTGAAAGCCCTCCTCCTCTCCCTCCTCCCCTCTCTCCATCAGATTACATAAGCTGCACACAGAGTATGGCTGCCTGAGTCAGTTGACAGGATCTATCTATCTATCTATCTATCTATCTATCTATCTATCTATCTATCTATCTATCTATCTATCTATCTATCTATCTATCTATCTATCTATCATCTATCTATCATCTATCTATCATCTATCTATCTATCTATCTATCTATCTATCTATCTATCTATCTATCTATCTATCTATCTATCTATCTATCTATCTATCTATCTATCTATCTATCTATATCTATCTATCTATCTATCTATCTATCTATCTATCTATCTATCTATCTATCTATCTATCTATCTATCTATCTATCTATCTATCTATCTATCCATCCATCCATCCATCCATCCATCCATCCATCCATCCATCCATCCATCCATCCATCCATCCATCCATCCATCCATCCATCCATCCATCCATCCATCCATCCATCCATCCATCCATCCATCCATCCATCCATCCATCCATCCATCCATCCATCCATCTATCTATCTATCTATCTATCTATCTATCTATCTATCTATCTATCTATCTATCTATCTATCTATCTATCTATCTATCTATCTATCATCGTATGTCTGTCTGTCTATCTGACTAAATGACTTGTAAACATTATTTATTTATTTGCTTCATGAAAAGCTGTAAACTTGGAAAATGCATTCAATTTTAGAGTTTCTAATCAAATATGACTTACAGTGACCTTGTAAATATGATTGTGATATTTTACTTCTTAATGGGGATTCGTTTGCCGCCAAGGGGCCTCGTTAATACAGTTTTTCTCAGTCGCTTTGATGCGTTTCTCAGAACACTATTAACATTTGCACAGCAGTTAGTGCATTTCTCAAAACAATTAGTGCAAACTGCAAAACCTAGTGGATAGCCTGCAAAAGCACGTCACATGCTCAAAATTGATAATCCATTCCTCAAAAGCAAGTATTCATGTCAATGAAACTGTCAGTGCCATCAAAATGAAAAGTCTTGACACCATCTCTATGAACAAGATAGTCACATGGCTTTGTCATGTTTTCACTATGACAGTTTATAATTTCAGTGTTTTCCATTGCAAGAATATTTGGTGACACCAGCTGATGCTCAAGACAGCACTATGCCCTACTTGTACAGCCATTTGAAATGTGCAGTAAAGTTACTGTAGAGGTTATGGGAGTTTTGGGAGTAACTGAGACACTAAATACGTACGTTTTACATTTTTACTGTATAGAAGTGTTTGTAATTCTACAGCATTGTGCAAAAGGAAAATATGCTACAGTCACTTGTTTACTGTAGAATACATGTAAACAAAAAAATCACCCTTTTGGTAGAGCTGTGCACAAATGTGAACAATATACAGTACATGTAACAGTACATACAGTACTGCACAGTACTATAACATACAGGTACAGTAAATCATTCTGGCACATCCAGACGTTGCTGTCTGTCTGGCCACATATTTTCATCTACATCACAACAGATGTCATCCCTTGCAATGCAGCGAGGAAAGTATCTCCTGGAGTGGAGAAGTATGCAGAAGTATAGAAATGGTACACACTAGCTCCTGCTCAGTTCATATATGCTTGCCAATTGAGGATTCACCTCCTCATGAGTGACAGATGAAATTCACCTGTGATCAATTGTTCAATTTAGGAGACATTTCCAGAATAAAATGATAAAGAAAGGTATAGAATTTGCTTGACAGATGACTGATATTTGACATTTGATAACTAGTTCAACAATTTTGTGTGTAATGACTCAAGCAATGAAAGTAAGACTATTAGTTTTATTGAGAGTGACTATTCAGCATCCATAAGTATAATTCATTTTGACTGACATGACATAAGCAAATGGAAATGTCAAAAAACAGCAGAGAAATGTATGAAAGCAACTGATACATGTCCAAAATCATTTGCAGTTTGTTCAGAGAAAGGAGAAATTGTTACTATGATGTGCACAAATGACTAAATGTTGTGGAGGTTGAACTAATAGTTATGAGAATTTTAATTCTGATCTGAGAAACGCACCAAAGCGACTGAGAAAAACTGTAAGAATATCACGACCCAGAAGTTCCCTGGCGATTCTCCTCTCAGAAATATTACACCAATAACACAAAAAGAGTATTTTTGTAGGAATACCCAGCAGTGACTTTTACTGCCATCTTGTTCCATCATCTTTTATATAATGTTGTGTTTTAAGATCATAAATAATTACAAAAGAGTGCACAGCAAGGAGATAAGTTTAGCTTTTGGTTCTAATAATGGCCACTAGGGGGTGCTGAAAGCTAGCCTAAAGCTAAGTGTGCCTTTAAAAACAAATGAAAACAAGATTTCCTGGAGAAAAAGTGTGAGTGACAGCAGGTGTTTGATTTGCAGAGAAATGATTAATCATTGTCTCATTTGTGATTTTGAGTGCTTTTTCACAGCTTCAGCTCTAGTTCCTGCTAACTGGAAGCAGAGTTTTCCTGAACAGGGAGCCTAACCCCGGTTTCACACTGCAAGCATCAGCGGAACGGAAGCGAAGCGGCACCACTTCAAATAGAATCCAATTATGGTCTATGGAGTGTTTCAAACCAGCCGCGACGTGGCAATTTCCAGGCGCGTCCCAGAAGCGGCATGCCGTGCCGCTAAAGATAGGATCGACTTCTATTTTTTCCGCGAGTCGCTTCTGGGACACGTCAATTTCCGCAGTTCACATAGTGCGAGACAGGAAACCACACGGTTTCAGTGTAAAATCCCCGGTTATTTTCAAAATAAAATGCAACGTTGTGTGTTACGTATAACTTACGTCAGTACGTGTGACCGAACGGCTTTGTTTAACACCAATTTCTTTTGAGAAGTGCAGCGATGTGATTCCTTGCGGGGGTTGTGATCTCTCGATGAGGAAGGTGTCAGAAGTCTCAAGGGATTTTAGAATCTTGCGGGTACAGTGAGGCGCAGCGAGGAAGCCGTGCCACGGTCAAGACTCTCCCGGTGTGAAAAGGACCGCTTTGAAGTTCTCGAGTGAGTCGCTCCGCTGCTGTTTCGTTCCACTGAAGCTTGCAGTGTGAAACCGGGGTAAGTCTCCTCCCTTTCCGGTTGGCTTGTGGGTTCCTGAAAGGGGCTAAAAGAGCTATTCTCTAATCCGCTCTGCCTTAGGCCCAGATCGCACACATGCTGCAGTGCAGTTTAAATGAAAACTAATGACGGGTGTTTCGACAACGACACTTTGAGCTTTATCAGCTCATAAAAGTTGGTAATTAGCATGACTTCAAATCAGACATTGACATGTTGCATATGTGACGTCACCACAGAATCTCCTCCCCCTAGCATAGCTGCTACTTACCACATGTCAGATGTATGGTGGTTCTTTTCTCCTGAAGGAAGGATTGGAAGTTCGCTGAACTTAAAGCCATTTTCCCAGTTTTTCTCCGTGTCTGCTTTGATGACGTCATTTTGGTGAAGCGCATTTGTAGTCCTGGACTTATTTTTACACAAAACCTAAAATAACGCTTCCGTGTTTAAAAAAAAAGCGCTTTCTTGGCATCAACATGTGTCTTTAAAATTCGCGAATATCATATGAGAAATCCACGGCACATAACTGGCGTAATTAGAAAATAGTGTTTTTAGCACCGTTGACTTGCATTCATTTTTTCGTTCTTCCGGGACCCGTGGTGCGGAAGTAGGTGGGCGTGGCTTAGACTCCCTATAAATCAGAATGATCTCAGAAAACCTTTAGGTTACTTTTTAAGGTTGTATATCGTGGCTAATCATGTTTATGCATGAGAAATAAGCTTTACTGATCTTTACTTAACCTTCCATGAAATGTAGTTTTTACCTTTATGCGACCAAAACATAAATTCCACGTTGCTCCTAAAGAATGCCTGATTATTTTAGACTTTTTTAGCCGCAGTGATGATCGAATGAACACAATCCCAGTGGTGGATCAGCAGTTAGAATGTTGGGCTTTTCCCTTCAGAGATTTAAACCTAGGAGTAGATTCAGCAGCAGCAT